AGAATAGTAATAATAAAGCTATGTTTAGTATTAATATTAATAATAATAGTAATATTTTATTATTATTTTTTTTTAATTTAGCAGCGGGTTGCGGACAACCCTTTAATTAAAAAAAAAAAAAATTATTAAGGCTAATATTTTTTTATTTAATATTACTAGGGCTAATTTACTATTAATTTAAAATTAATACCTAAGCTTTAGCCTTAGGCTACCAAGGCTTGGCATACCTTATTATTATATTAGGTTATATAACTTAACTAGGTTATTAATATTTAGGGTTTTAGCTACTAGTTAAGCAAGGCTAAAATAGGCCCTAAGTATAAGCTAGAGTAAAAACCCGTGCGTAAAATATTTAAACCTATATTTACTTTTTAGTTAAAAATAGCTTAAGTATAGCTTAAAGGTTTATAAAGGTGGCCTTAAGGCTAGCTTTTATTAAAATCTTTAAGTAACTTTTTTAATGTTATCTAGCGGGGTTTAAAATACTTTATTCTTATTAGTTAGATTTCTTTGTTAATATTTTTATTATTAGTAAAGATCTTCGAGACCTGTCGGTCTTACAATTTTATTTTAAGGCTAAGGCTAGTTAATAGCTAAAATTTACTAGTAATATAAATAATATTATTAAAAATCTTATATAGTTAGGGCGCTAGTACATGTTAAAGGCCTAAAATAAAAGTATAAATAATAAAAGTACTTTTTTTAAAAACTTTTAAATTAGTTTTAACATATTTTTATTACTTTTAAAAATACTTAAAAAATCTTACTAGTAGCAAGGCCAAGAAGCTAGCTATAAAAAAGTTTAAATAATAATAATAAATATTATTAATAATAAAAATAATAATTTTTAATAATAACTTAAAATAAATATACTAAGAGGTTTATTATATAAGCTATAATTTTATAATATATTATAAATAATATTTTTAGGTATAAAAATTATTAATAATTAATACTTAATTTTATATGTATAACACTAAGGCTATTAATATACTTTAAAAATTAAAAATAATAATTAAAAAACTTTTTAGGGCGCCCTGCTACTAGCTTTATATTAATAATATTTTAATAATTTAGTACGCACGCGGGTAGCCCTTATTATTTTTAAACTAAGCCTTTTAAATATTATACTAACTTATAAATTAATATATAATTTATTTATAATAGTCCCTTAGCTATATAAATATTAAAAGTAATAAGTTAATTAATAAGCTAGTTAATAAAGTAGTTTTTATAAAGGTATAACCCTTAAATATTAATTTTTTTAAAATATAACTTACTGTAAGCAGGATATATAACCTATATAAATAAATATATTAAATTACTTAGGCTAAATAATAAAAAAATACCTTTATAAAATTATTAACCTAGTATAAGTAATAGCTTATAAAGCTAGAGCCTTACTAGGTTAAATTATAAATAAAACTTTTATTAAAATACTTAATTTTATATTACTAGTTAGTATTTAAGTTTTTATATAAAAATTTTAAATAATATTATAAATACTTTTAATATAAAAATATTAAGCTTATTTATTTTTATAAAAGAAATAAAAGCCCTAAATACCTAGTTTTTTATTATTACTTTAGGTAATATTTTTTATAATAACCCCAGCGCCTTATAATATTATTAATAATTAAGGCTAAAACTTTAAAGTACCTTTATAAATTAAAACCCAGGGGCTTTATATTTTTACTTAAAATTATAAATTTTTATAAGTTTATTTACTTATACTAGGGTTTTCTACACCCTAGCACTTTTTATATTAAGGTTATTTAATTTAATATTAAATAGCCTTTTTTTTTATATTTTTTTTAAACACCTTTTTTTAACGCAACTAGTTTATTTAAAGTATTTTTTTTATATAAGGGCTGGACCTTATAAGCTATTATAATTAGTTTTTTAAGCATATAATAAATAATACCTATTAATAGTTATATATTAAAATAATAAGTAAAAAATAAGTACCTAGCTTACAAGCTTTAGCAAAAATTACCTTTTAAAATAAAAAGCCTTTTTATATATATATATATAAACTTATTTAAATAAGCTATTTACCTAGCGGTGGCACGCCCCTATACCCTAAGGGAGGTTTAAAATATTAGGCGTACGCCTAGCAATCCCCGGGGCGTTAAATATTACTACTACTACTACTACACAGCTAGCAGGCAGGGAAGAACCCCAAGCAAACCACGGGCAGGAACTCTGGGTACGAACATGCGGCATACAGCCAGCGTTCCTGTTCTGCGCGCATTGCGTTCTTCAAACGAAAGCGTTTGATGGAGGAAGTCGCGACCATTCTAGAACCCACTGCAGCTCAGCCCAGTCTAGTCGGTCCTTAAACACCTTCTCTCCTATACAGACAACGCTAGTAGCATCAACTTCCATCTCCCAACAGCATCCAAATATCATACCAACCCATACACACGAACCCGTCAAATCCTCTCTCTGGCCGTCACATACGCACGAACACATCCCCAGTCCCTCGTCAGCCACAGAACCCCCTGCGCCCGCTTCCCACCACACATCCCCAAAATGTGTCCCCCCTCCATCCCCCCACCCAACAGCCCAGACAACCCGCAAGCAAACCCACCACCCCGTCGCCCTCGCCCTCGGCACGCCTCCACCTCATCCCGAGCCTCCGCCCCCCGCAACACCAACCGCGCTCGACAGAACAGCCATGGCCGTGCCCACGCGAACGCCCGCGACAACGACCACCAGCAACCCGAACGGAATGCGCAAGCGCAAGACCATGCCCGCGAAAGCTCCGACGACGACGACGACGACGACGACGCATTCGACGCGGTCGCAATGGAGTGGGCGGTGAACCTGGTCGCGGCGATGCGCATCGTCCGCACGGCGGCGGATAGCGGCCGGCGGTGTAGGCTCTCGTTCAGGCAGGCGAATGCGTTGGTGTCGTACTTGGATGCGGTGATTCAGTCGAGGAGTCGTGGTAGGGTATGTATGGTTGCGGGGCTTCAGGGAAAGCTGGAGGGATGCTGACTTGGGATTTGTTGTATAGGCAAGAGGGGGTCGGGGTGGGACTGGGACTGGGACGGGGACGGGGGCAGCTGCGGATCGGAATCGGAATGGAGGGCGGTAGGGGTGCAGGGAAAAACAACTGTTGGATAGGCTGAGGTTTCCTTGGGCGGGTATATGGAGAGGACAGAAGTGTATGCATTGTTACTTGGGAGACCCGGATGGCGGCTTCACACGGGGGAGGATGGCTGTGTAAGGAGAGAGAGAATAACAGGACTTATGTGCTTGAACCCACGTCGCAATTAAGTTCTACCATGTCAGACATTGTCTCAAGCCTCTGGAGTCTTCTCAGACATGGTTTCATGCTTATCCTCACCACCTAGACACTGTTCCAGGCGTACCCGGACTGCCCGAGACACTGTCTTAATCCTATCCCGACCTCATAAGACAATGTTTCACGCTTATCCTGACCGTCCAAGCCACGCGTTGGCTGTCTCATGCTTATTGCAACCTCCAAGACACTGTCTCATGTTTAACACAACATCGCGTTAAGGTAGCTCAACACCATCAAAGGCCACGGGAAGCACCGCGGGTATTCATCGAAGGTCATCCACAGAGCGCCTGTCATCCTCAACCTAGAATGTGCTGTCCCTCCGCCGTCAAGATAGCGTCTCTGACTACATGTCCCTATAATCTCGAACGGACACACCCATTGGCAATGTCCAAGATCCAGCACTCTCCCCAACTAGACATCAGATCTTACTCCTCCAATCCCACTTATAATCCAAGCAAGCCCACCGCGCAATCCCAAACAGCAGAACTGCAACGATGAGCATAGCACCCAGGTACACAACCACCATATGCGCCCCGATCTTCTCGAGCATTTCTCCACCGATGGGAATACAGATCAGCGTCCTGAATCGTCAGCAACTCACATTCCATCCATTCACCTATTGAGATAGAGGCGACTCACGCAAACGCAACAAGCCCATACAACGTCCCAAACCTCATCCCCGTCTCCTTGGCCGGCGAAATCTGACGCACACAGACAGGCGCAAGGCAGATGAACGAGCCGGATACAAACCCGTACGTCGCGCAGAAGATGTACAGCCCCGCTAGCGAGTTGCTGAAGGGGTACAGGATTGCGAAGATGAGGACTATGGCGAACGCGACGAGCAGGATGAGCACGTTCAGCCGCCCGTATTTGTCGGCGACGCGGCCGCTTACCAGGCGGCCGATGGAGTTGCAGCTGTACTTGCAGTCAGTGCACGCGGGGAGTCTTGGATGAATGGGTGGATGTTCTGAGGTTTGGAAAGGACGCACACGTTCAGCACGACAAGGAGATTCACGCTCGACGCGGTGCTGAAGCCCTGCGCCACGACGTAGGAGGGCAGGATCCCGACGAGGCCGAAGACGACGAGTTCGAGGCCTGAACAGAGAGTTAGAGATTAGAGACTCTGTCCACTTGCACTTGCACACCAAGAAGACACCACATACAGAACGTCGCCGCACTCAACCAGCTAAACCGCGCATCTTGAAAACACCGAATATCAAACGCCGCCTTGGGCCTCCCATTCCTCGGCAAGCGGCTCTTCACCAGGAACGTCGCCGATCCACACAGCACAAAGACCACCAGCGCCGTCACCCTCATCCCCCACTTGAAGCCTACGCTCGCCCACGTCTCGCGCAGGATATACGGGAACACGACGCCGCCGAGCCCCGCCCCCGCCATCGCCGTCCCGATCGCCATCCCCGCGCGCGCATAGAACCAGTGCGGGATGCACGACATGCCGACGTTCGAAATCACCGCCGCCCCGATCCCTGATACGATCCCGAAGCACAGGATGAAGTGCCAGTACTCGCTACATTGCGCTGTAAGCAGCACGCCGAGCGAGTAGATGGCTGTGCCGGTGGCAACGAGCTCTTTCGGCCCGTAGGCGTCGAAGAGCGGGCCGACGAACACGCCGAGGATTAGCGAGACGAAGGTGAAGACGCCCGAGATCCAGCCGACGTCGCGGCTGGTGTAGGACGAGAGCTGGTGGGTTTCGAGGTATGATTGGATGACGCCGACGCTGTTCATGAGGCCGTAGGACGCCATCAGCAGGAGGAAGGAGCCGAGCACGACGAGCCAGGAGCGGATGCCGCCGTCGGGGAAGTCGTCATTGTTGAGCTCGACGAGGGGGGTTGTTGGTTCTGTGGGGGTTTCATGGCTGGTGCTGGTTTCGAGGGCCGGGCGCTCGCGGTTGATGGCCCAGGCCCGCGAGGGCTCGGCGAGCTCGTAGCCTGAGCTGGAGGTGGAGGTGGAGGTGTTGGCGGTAACGTGGAGCTGGGCCTTTGGGTCCATTCTGTGCTTTGCTGGTAGGAGTTCAGGGCGAGTCGGTTGCCCTCAAATACCTACCTAGATATGTCGCAGTGAGTCACAGTCACAAGCCAACGGATGCGTTGTTGGAGTAGGTCGAGGTCGCAGTGGCGGGGGTGCACGCCCTACAGATGTCCCGATCTAGCTTTATCGTCAGTGAACTCCGATTGGAAGGGGTCTGCTTCCCACTTTCGGCACTGGAAGGATCTTATAGTTGGTGGAAGGCGTCCCCGATCCCGACATGTCGGACCAGCCTCCGACACTCCACCATCCTTAAGACGGAGTCTAGATTCGCTGGGCTGGCTTGGACCTGATCCTTCGGATGCCATTGGGTGTCTTTGCATACATCAAAGGCCGATCTTAGATTCCGGTGATCCTGAAGACATTGAAGGAATAGATTGACTTCACTTCACGCAAGTTGGCGACGTAGCTAGCCCTAACTTCTCGGTGGAGCCACCCTTCTCCCGACTCCACCTGTATAGAGCGACAATGGCCTCAATGTCGGTGCAGGATCCGATGCCGGTGGTCTGGATGCTTGTTCGCTTGGGCCCATACACTGACGCAGTTTGTCTGCAGGCCAAGTGCAATCAGCAAGACTCCGACCCCTGTTCTCGGTGTCCACGCTGGTTTGTCTGGGTTGCAAAGCAATCAAATGATTGACAGTATCTTTGGCAAATCGGAGCATGCCCTGACATTCACCCACTATCCATATGTCTAGATCTATATGTCTAGCTATGCTATGCTATCTACCTGGAAAGCACATCCTGGCCCCCATCCGCATGCACATCTTTATCCTCAGGATAAACCCACCCCTCCGTCCCATCCCCAGGCCAACTCAAAACAACCGCCTGCTCCCCCACCAGCTCAAAAGACACCACAACACTGCGCTCGTTATTCAACGCCAGCTCGTACGTCCCCGGATACAGCACGCGATTGCCACGCTCATCCGTCCTCGCCACGCTCCCAATCGTCACGGGAACATTGAGAGTCTGGACATCACCGGGCTCCAGACCTCCGAGCCGGTCGAAGCCCACAACCCACTTGTTCGGGTATGGCGATGGCCCGGCGTTGGTGGTGTTGACGTACACGAGCGCGGTGTAATCTGAGGACCGCTCCCCGGTGTTCGTGATTGTCGCGGTGAAGTTGAGGAGCGGCTTTTGCTCGATGTAGGTTGTTCCGGGGTGGGGCGTTGTGAGGAGGGACTGGATGTTGAAGGGGCCGGCGGTTGTGTTGGAGGTCGTCTCGTCGAACGTTGTGTAGAAGAGGCCGTGGCCGAACTCGTAGACGGGGGTGCCGGTGTACCACATGTATGTCTGCCCGGGGTTCCCGCTTGTCTCGTTGGGGCGGAGGTTCATGTCGATGGCCGGGAAGACCTCTGCGTATTCAGCTGGATACTGTGTCGTCACGAGGCGACCGGCCGGTGCGCGCTTGCCGGTAATGATATCAACGAGCGCATGCCCGCCCGACTGGCCTGGGTATCCGCCCCAGATGAGGGCGTTGACGTTCTCATTTTCTTTTAGCGACGAGGAATCAACCTGCCCGCCGCCCATCTGCAGGACGATAAGGGGTTTCCCGAGCTCGCTGAGCTGCTGGACCAGGTCGAGCTGGTTTCCTGGCCAGGTGATGTTCTGGCGGTCCTGCGCTTCGGCTTCAATGGTGTTGTCGATGCCGCCGGCGAAGATGATTGCGTCGGCGTCTTGAGCGGCGGAGAGAGCTTCCGCGAACCCGGATGTTGAGTCGGACGAGAGGTTGGTGCCCAGCGCGTAGGTGACGTCCAGGTCGGACCCCTCGAGTGCGATCAGCGGGCTGATGAGGTATCGCGCGGGGCCGAAGTAGTTGCCCTGCAGTTCGTCGGTTACGTTTGCCCAGGGGCCGATGAGGGCGATGCTCCTGATGTCGTTGGAGAGCGGGAGTGTGTCGCCTTCGTTCTTCAGAAGGACGATTCCCTCGACTGCGGCCTCATAGGCGATATTCCAGGCGTCTGTGGCGAGTACATCATCCCAGGTGATGTTGCGGTACGGAGCGTCCTCTCCGTCAAAGTATCCTGTTTGGATGAGGCTGCTGTAGAGACGGATGACGCCGCGCTCGATATCGGATCGCGAGACGAGGCTGTCCTCGAATGCATCTTCAAAGTACCATTGGTAACTCGTTCCGCAGTCGATGTCCGTACCGGCTAGTATCGAGTCGGCCGATGCAGCGGATTCATTGTTTGCATAGCCATGCGGATTCCACACGTTGTACACAGCGCCACAGTCACCAGAGACATATCCGTCTTCATGGAACTCGAACGTCTCGCGGAGCAGTGTCTGAAGGAAGAACGAGTTCGCACAGCTAGGCACCCCGTTCACGGCATTATACGAGCACATCACACTGCGGACCTTGGCATCGCGCGCCGCAACGATGAAAGGGGGAGTATAGTATTCCGACAGTTCCTGCTGGGTAATCTGCATATCGTTCCCGAGTCGAGAATGGTTATTCCAGTTCTCGATATCGTACCCGGCGTAGTGCTTCGCATTGGCAATGATCTTGATTGTCTCGGGGTCAACACCACCCTGCAGCGCAGTGATATACTCGTACCCATACACCGACGCAAGGTGGATATCCTCACCCGGCGTCTCCTGGCCGCGACCCCAAACGGGATGGCGGAAGGTGTTGATGTTGGGCGAGTACACGTCCAACCCGCCTAGTCCCGCATTACTGAACGCGCGGAGCTGCGTCGACACGATACCCCCGATCTGCTGGATCAGCGTCCGGTTCAGCGCCGCCATCGTGGTAATCGGCATGGGGAACGACGTCGCCCAGCTGAAGTCGCCTTCGTCTGGGAACGTTGCGCGTCCGACGCCGTGCAGGGCTTCGCCCCACACTTGGTAGTTTGGGAGTCCGAGTCTCGGCACGCCCAGGCCTGTGTTGCCGGTGTTGTTGACGAGTTCTTCGAAGGTGAAGAGGGAGACGAGGGCTGTGGCGCGGTCGCGCGGGGACAGGCTGCGGTCGCAGACGGGGGTCGAGCTTAGAGGACCGCTGGCGCAGTCGGGGAAGGACATGTTGAGGAGCTGCAGGCATTGCGGGAAGAGGTCGGGGTTTGCTTCGACGGTGTAGTCTTCGTAGCTGCTGTTTGCTTGGGAGAGGGCTGTGGGGAGGGCCGCCAGCGCGGCGAGGGAGATGAGCGACCTCATGGTGTACGCTCGTGCTCTTGCTCTGATGCTCTGGCCTGCTGGGGGTACCGCGGTGTTTGTCTTTATAGGGGACTGAAGGCCTTAATTCTCCGGACTATTGCCGAAGGGTAAAGCGAGCTCCAGGGCAGTGACGATCGCGACGTCGTCCTCCGCAGTTTCAAGCAAGGAGCATCTCCAACTGCAGATCCGGGTCTTGGATGCGGGGGAGCAGCCATTTAGCCTGAATTGCTGGGCTTAGGCAGTACACCATGGATTCACTGTCACCGTACTCAGTAGGGTTCTCGCTGGTAAGTTCTAATGACGAGGAAGCAGAACTCGGTTGTATCCCGATCGCAGAGCCGGGGGTGAGCGCCTTCGCAGCCCGGTGGCAGCCGGCGTCAGGATCAACTGCGTTCAGGCTGAATGGCCAAGGCGGCGATATTCCGAGCCCGGCTCTGTGGCGTCACAGTCTGCGCTCCTTTAGCCGGGGAATGTCCGTGCGAGAGAGGGGTTGGGCTGGGGATGAGGCCACCCGGGTCCGGCTAAACAGAAGCCTTGGGGGGTTCTCCGGCGGACTGGCCAGGGTAATGTCGAGAATGAGATCATCAACTATACATTCCAAGCAAATATATCCAAGAAATGGCTATATACAACAAGAAGCTCATCACTGCCTCACGAACCTGACATCGTGGCTCTTATACAAAGTGCTGCTATCCAAAATATCTCCCGTGACCGAGCCAATAAAGTCGACCTGCAGGTGAGTGCGATTCAGAAACCGGATGGTAGAGTACGAATAATCCTCGTCGTTCGCGTACTCTGAGAAATCCAACTGCGTGCTGATTGACGACAAGCCCTCGATGTTCCCCGCGCCCCCGGCGACAATGTACATCGGGGCCTTGGGGTCGTTCATCCCATTCGCATCAGCGACACTGTTGTACACGGGGAGGAACCGCTCGGCGTTGTGCTCGTGTCCGAATACACCGAGGTCAACGCCGTAGGTATACAATAGGTCCTCAAAGGCATCTTGGCAGGGCGTGCATGCTGTCCCGGATGTGTACCAAGGCCGGTGACCGGCGACGATGACCCAGGGTGTCACAGCGCGATCGACGCTCGCCAGATCAGCCTTCAGGAAATCGAGCTGCTGGTTGGCGGTTCCGAATGGGCCGCCGTTCAGGTGTGCGGATCCGCCCTGGCCGTCGGGTGCGTCCTCAAAGTCGGTCTCCGTGTTGATCATGACGATGTGCGCCATGCCGTACTCGAAGGAATACCAGAATGGTGGCTGGGCGAGTTCGCGGGCTTGGTTGGCGAGTACTTTGGCCGAGTCGTTGGTTGACACGGAGGCAAAACCTGATGGCATGGTCTGTCCGAAGCGGTGCATGAAATCGGTAAAGTTCTTCTGGCCGTCTGGGCAGAGGCCTGTTGTGTAGGGGAGCTCTTCGCATGCTGCTTCATGGTTCCCGGGGCTCGCCATGTACGGCTTGCGGCCGGAGATTGGAGCGAGCTGCGTGTAGAAGTTCTCCAGGATCGCTTGGTAGGCGTTCTCCCCGTCCAGGAGGTTGTCCAGCGACAGGAACCAGTCGTCTGCGTAAGCAAAGTCGCCTGGGTGGATGATGAGTTCGTAGTCGTCTACGGTGTTGGCGAGTCGGCCGATGGTGGTGTGGTTAAGGGCTGGGTCGATGGTGGGGATAGTGTCCTTCTTGGTCTTGTCGCCTTGGATCGTGAAGCCGTCCTCGCCGTACACTCCCAGGTCAATGACCGCGTTGATGTTGAACGGGGTCCCATCGCCGGGAGTGCGCGGGCTGAGGAAGTGGTCTACCGTGGAGTTGGTAGACACGATCTTGTAGTAGTATGTTGTGCCGGCAGCCAGATCAGTTAGGATGACCACGTTCTCGTAGGTACGAGAGGTCGGGTATGTGGTCGACGCGACTGACGCGCATGTCCGTTGGTCGAGGTTGTCACTTGACGTTCCATACTCGACGCAGGGCTCGTCCTGCCGGGCATACGTGTTCCACCCGATCGAGATCGCTACCAGGGATTAACATGGATCAGGCACTGAGCACGGTGTCTTACAGTTGGGGCCATAGATGGCAAGGCGCTGCTGAACCGGGGTCGTCGTGTCCTCCGGGATAGCCGGGTAGTTTGCCTTTGCCACAACGCAGGCTGCCAACAAGGGGGCAGCCCTAAACGCAGTCAGGAGTCTCATGATCGGTGCCTTCAGGAACTCGACTAGGAGAACTATCCACGGCTGCACTCTGGTGAGTGCCACCACCGGCGCCGACACCATCATATATAGGCCGCGACAGCACTCCGTCAGCATATTGAGCCAGCTCGCCCATATAGATTATTTCCGGTCGAGCCCCAATCATCAGCACGCTTTGCAGGCACGCCGACGTTCCTGACCGAGCTACCGTCAGATCTGCAGGAAACGAATCTCAACCGCGGCCGACAAGGAGCGGCGGGGTCTGCACTAGTACGGCATAGCGTCCACATGCCCTGCTTTTCGATCATCACTGGCCACTCAGAACCGGGTTTTATTAATCCTCTGCATAAGCTTCAGTTGCCAATATGTGCTCCGGCTCTAGCAATGTTCTGGTTGCTTACTCCGAGGCTTTCATATCGTGCAGATTGCCGGAAACCGAAGGATCAGGCAGTATTGCTATTCGATGCCAGGGATTGGCCAGGAGGGGGCTAACGGTGCAGAAGTGCAACCCTCTCGGAGATTTATATTCGGGGATGTATACGTTGGGTCCATAGTAGGCAATTTGAATTGAGTCGTGCATTGATTCTCGATTTCAATTGCTGTTCAAGAATATCCCGGGTGAAGCGAGGACTCAGTCTCAGGCATCCTGAATAATCCCCACAATCTCCTCCAAGCTCTTGACCACAGCAGTCGGCCTGAGCTTTGGGGCCGCAGCATCCGTCCATCCCCTCCCACCCCGATCAACCCAGATCGCATTGAGGCCTACACTGCGCGCCCCCACAATGTCAAACGGGTTTCCACTAACGAGGTAAATATCGCCCGTATGTGCCGACGACTTGCCAGTTTTCGCAACGAGGTGGTGGTACACCGCAGGAGCAGGTTTGTACGCCTTTATACTCTCGACCGAGACGATATCGCTAAAAACCGAGGCGTGCGGGGACAGATCGGGCGAGTTGTGGACGGAGTTCGAGACCATCGACTGGGTGCCGTTGGAGAAGACGAAGGCTGCTACGGTCGGAAGGTCAGATAACTTCGTCAATGTGGGCTTGACGTCCGGGAAAGTCGAGAGGTTATCGTAGGCCTTCATCAACGAGGCGATCGCGTTGTCGGAGAGGGACTCGTCGTGTTCGGCGAGGGCGTGCTTGAGGGCGTTGCGGGTGATGTCGGAGAAGGGCTCGTATGTTCCTGGCAGTGTCAACGACTATTGAAAGTAATTTCTCAGATAGACTGTATGGTATACCCATGCTGTTGAGTCGCCAGGTGTATTCTAGCTGATACCGACGCCATAGGCTGGAGATGGACTGGGCCTTGTCGGAGAAGTGCGACTCCAGCTCCTTCGCGATGGACTCCGTCGAAAGTAGCGTTCCATAAAGGTCGAAGGCGAGGATCTTCTTGCCAGCGGCCATTCTGCTGTAGTTATGTTTCTGCTGGGTGATAGAAGAGTTGAAGAATGATTGTGGACTTCAAAGTTGCGTTGTGTTGACGGTGTTTGCGGGGGAGCAAGCATGACCTCATCGCCGCCTCGACCGCTCCGGTCTTCCGCAAGAACCGACGGCGAGAGCGACATCTTCTCAACCCATAATGGATGGAGAATTGCTTTGCGAGACATACGGATGTTATTGGCGCCTCGTAGTACTGAAGGACGCAAGATGTATGGTTTAGGAGTAGCCCAGGACAGCCAGCTCTTGGCGAGCGCAAGCCGGAGGGATGATAGACCCATAAATATATAGTTCAACCATTGCCGCTGTGTGAGCCTGACGATAACATCCAGTGAATTTTTGTTAATCGTCCGGTGTCCACTGAGATTAGATGGCATTTTCATTGCGTGAATTATATAATATCAGAGTCCATTGGGTTGAGTTGGTTGAAGATTGACCATGTAGTTTCCCGTACCCGGAAGAAGTTAAGCCGCTGCAGTACAATAGGCCTCCCGTTAATGCTCACACAGAGAGAACAACCCAATCTGATACACTTGGTTATGCTCCTCAGCCTTGAGTCCTTGCTCTTGCATAAGCTCAAGCCTAAGGGCCTTCGCCTCCTCCATCGTCATCACAGGTCCCGGAACAGCCGTTCTTTCGTCCCGAGAGAGCACCTGCTGAGAGTCTTCCTGCGACTGGCCTTGCTTCTCACGCCAATCTTCCCGCTGAGGAGGAACATTCGCAGAGGAAATGATGCAATGATAAGGATCAACCAGGAACAAAGCGAGAATCTTGCGGTGGCCAGACTTGGACCGATCGGCGAGAGAGAATGGAGAGACCCGGTGCTGGAGTTTGTTGGGGAAGGTGACGAGACGGCCTCCCTTTGACTCCACGCTGCCGAGATCCTGCGTTATCAGGCCATCGTGGTAGTCGTTAATGTTGTTAGGAAAGTCGTAGATCTGCTGGAGGAAATGATGCATGCTCTGTTCGTAGTTGATCTCCATGAAATCGTCGCTGTTCGCGCGTTGGCGAAACGCCAGTGAGCTCGGGGTGATGTTTTCGCAGTCGTAGTAGTAGATGGCCGACGCGACAATGCGCTCATTCTGGGGGCACTGCGTTAGCAATGGATGAACTGAAACTGCCAAGGTAGGCGCTCACCAGTTGACCCTCAATATGCCAGGTTCCACCTTTATAATCGGGCTTCTCAGGCGGTAATTTGATATTGGCCAGCTTCACAGTCACTTGGAACTTGTGGTCGGGAAAGTGTTTTGTGAAGTTTACGTTTTCGTATAAGGTTCCTTCACTCTGAACTCCTTGGGCTCGGGTTGTTTGATGCGGCGCCTGGAGTACCAGGCAGACCGACGTTTTTTATACTCATCAAATTCGTTATCCTCGTCGTCACCTTCTGGGTATATGGGTTCGGGCTCGGTATCCTCCTCGTACTCAACCTCCTTGAACTTGCTTTGATCACCCCTGAACGGCTTTTCCGTCAATGAGCTCTCCCACAGGGGCATAGTCCGGGCCAGGATCTTCTCAACAACATCATACAGAGCACTCGTGATATATACGGTGCGTTGTTGTATCTTCAGGAGAGACCGGTACTGCCGCATCGAATTTGAATCGGGCCCTCGGATGCGTGGAAGAGCCGCAGTGGGTGTTGCCGTCCGGAGTGTGGCGAGCCATGGTCTCTTGGCGCCCAACGCGAGGACTCTGGAAGTGGTCTAACTCGAAACGGAGTGCGCGTTTGAGCTAGGTTTGAGGCCTACTGTCTTCGCAGACGCCAATGGCCAAGATTATCTCCCTACGCAACCACAAAAAGTCCATCGGAGTACGGAGTAGTTGCACGGCAAGTTGTGATTCGTGAATCGTGATCGGATGCTATCGGTTGGATGTGGAACATGATTGGTCTGTTCAACTCCAAGCCAAACCAACCCCCATCCTGCAGATGCGCCGTAGATCGAGCGGTCCCAAGTTGAACATCTCGGTAAAGGTCTTGCTATAGGGTGTTTCGCGAGGCTTGAGGGATAGACGCTGATAAAATGCTACCCGATTGAAACCCGGCGATGAGGTACATAGATAAGGACTGATGTCGGCCGGAGACATTTGTCCAATCCCTTTGGTTGATCGCCGAGCTTACTCGTGCCCGATGTCTGGCTGTCAGATGGTCGACACGTACTGTAGTTGTGGCGCCGAAGATCACCAAGGCGTTGAACAGTATCAAACAACGATGGGCCTCTCCTTCGGAAATCGGGTGGCGTGAGCGTACGCGTTGGCCTTATCAAAGGGACGACATGCTTGAAGTGCGGAGTAGTTGTGGCGACTGCGAATTCGGCGGGAAATTGTAGGAGAAGAATCGGCGCGAGGGAGATTGTGGCAGTCGTTCCGGTTGGCGGGAAGGGCTTTGGCGCCCGGACGGCAACAACGGCGGCACCGAGACTAACACTGACAGCTGCAGCTCAGGTCAGCTCGGACAGCCGGTCTTTCATGAATCATGGATCTCACCAGTCTGGGGATGGTATTCGAAGCGTGGAAGAAAGATACGGAGGAGGATTTCCTGTCAATCGCATCCGTTCTTCCATGGGCTGTGATTTGCTGCGGCTTGTGCGAGAGTCGATGACAGGTGGACGCAGAGTCTGTTGTGGGGGAGACCCACACGTGCCTGTTTTTCTCAGCAGAACCTGACACTGACACTGACAGGAGAGACCTTTCTGAGCAGGCCTGGCTGCTGCTCGCCTCGGCTGTTGTTTGATTCGACATCCTTGATTTGACAGCACCAGTCTAGACTCGCTCCTCGAGTCCGAGCCTGCTTCCGAGCAAGTTAGCCCAACGGCGAAAAGACTGGGAAAGTGGCCCCCTCTCGCTTTGCTTTTCATCGCTTCCTCCTCGCTTTTCCTTTTGGCCCTCTTGCCTCCCGCTTTCCACACGACAATGCATCCAGCATCCTGACGGGATGTCCAAGGGTGCTTACAAGTCTGCCTGCGATGCAGAGCGAGAGAGACTCCGGGAGGTCGCCAGGTGGGTGATGATCTTCCGCGCTCGGCTACCGTTACGCTGATCGCTTCTTCTGCTCCCTAGGTATTACTGCGTCGTCGATCGTCCTTCCAGCAACAATCACATTCACACCCTGCAAGGTGATGACCGACCGGATCACAATAAGCGCCTCGCGTCGGATACCGCCCTAACCGGACTGGCTCGGCTGGGAGTCCTGCAGTTTGGCTGTAACCGTGCTTTTGTCTCCATCATCGACGAGGCCAATCAGCATGTCATCGCCGAGGCCACCACTTCCGTCTCTCTCAACAACGCCAGGAAACACCAGGCCAACGATGGATTATACTTGGGAACAAAATGCCTTGACTTGGGATGGGGTGTGGTACCGCGGACGGTTGGATTTTTTACGAACCGAATGGAGCCCATCGACACCGAAAATATGATCGCAAACGAGACACGATACATCGTACATGATTTTACCAAGGAGGACGCTTACAAGGATCGCCCTTATGTTGTGCACTGGCCGTTTATGCGTTTCTATGCTGCCGTTCCGATCAAGAGCCCCGGGGGATACGTGCTCGGCTCCTACACCATTGTCGACAACAAGCCGCGGTCGGACTTTGGCCAAACTGAAATTGAAGGTATGCAGGACATAGCAGACGCCATTGCTCAACACTTGGAGACCGTTCGACTATCCTACTGCCATCACCGCACCGAGACGCTGGTCAAGAGCCTCACCACGTTTGTCAAAGAGCACGACGATTTCGATCCTACCGAATCCTACCAAGTGACCCCTACTCAGTCGATGACGAACATACCCGAGACCGCGGAAGCAGACGACACCAAAATCCCAGGCACACCCGACGAGAGCCGCCAGAGCAACCCAGACGGTGCCGAGGGCGATGGTTACGATCCCCTGGGTCTATGCTCCCCATCGGACGTTACTGGCGAGGCTTCGTCCTTGTTCTCAAAGGTGGTCGGCTCCGAACAGACCGAGATTTCCTTTCCGCACAGAAGTGTTGAAAGACCCCCCTCGGCCTCATCCGGGAATTGCGATCGGAGGGACAGCGTGCCGCAAAACGCCCCAGCGGTCACGGACACTCCAGCCGACACCCAGTCATCGACCAAAGAGATCGGTAACAAGATTGCGAAGATCTTCAGGCGGGCGAGCATTCTTCTCCGCGATTCGATGGACCTGGACGGGGTTCTTTTCGTAGATGCTTCCCGCTGCAACGCCGGCGTGTGAGTTAGCTTTCCCGATTCTGTCGTCCGTGTAACTAACATCTGCACCAGGGTTCTAAGCAACGATACCGGGACGTGGGAACCACTGCCCTCTACCCTCAGTCCGGGGTTTCTTGTCGATCCGTACCCGAGTCCCGCAGCGGATATTCCTGGGGTTGGTTCGCTTTCAAAACCATCCGATAAGCCGTGTACTCTCCTTGGCCGCGCGTTAAGGGAAACGGTGAACCCTGGCGAGTCGCCCCACGATTGGAATATTACAGAGAGGGTATTGGACGACTTGATGGCGTCATTCCCTCAGGGCCAGATCTTCGACTTGAGCGACTTGCCCGCGCAGGAGTCGTCGCCGCTATCCGACCCGGTGACTGCCCTATGCCGTGACTTGGCCGCATGTTTCCCCAACGCGAACTCGGTCTTGTTCTCTCCCATCTGGGACTGGAACAAATCCAGGTGGCTGGCAGGAACCTTAGTATGGACCAGCGATATCTTCCGTGCTCTGGGCGCGGAGGAATTGCATTACTTCAAAGCCTTCGGCGACTCCATCATCTCCGAGGTGGCTCGTGTCGACTGGTCGGCTATCCAAAAATCGAAGTCAGCATTCATGTCGTCTGTGAGCCATGAGTTGCGATCGCCCCTCCACGGTATACTTGCCAGCGCCGAGCTCCTGGGCACAACCGCCTTACCACCGGAACAGCAGCATTTGGTGGATATGGTCGAGTCATGTGGGTTAACTTTGTTGGACACCTTGAACCATCTGTAAGATTATTTCCGCACTGTTGTCGCTGCTTATCGCCGTTCGGAGTCGTCACTAACACGAGTTTAGACTGGACTTTTCCGGGATTAACAACCTCTCCGCACTCGAGGATCCGGCTCAGGGCTTGTCTGACGCCGGAATGACTTCTCTCGAGACCGACTTTGATCTGGGCGATTTGGTCGAGGAGGTGGTGGAAGTGCAGTACACCGGACAAAACTTGCCCAAAGCCGCGATTCACCTCAACCAGCAGACAGCTCCGGCCCCCGATCATTTCAATGCCAACGCCGATGAATTGTCGGTCATTGTTCGAGTGGAGGATATGCCGACTTGGAAGATCCATTCTGTGCCTGGGGCTTGGCGAAGGATTGTGATGAATTTGCTCGGCAACTCTTTGAAGTGGACAAAAGCTGGCTTCGTCGAAGTCTCCTTGTCAAAAGTGAGGCGAAAGCGCGATCCCCTCCACGTGTTTGCTCTCCTATCCGTTACCGATACCGGCGCTGGAATAGCGCCAGATTTCCTTCGACACAACGTTTTCTCACCCTTCGCGCAGGAGAATTCGCTATCTGAGGGTCTAGGACTTGGGCTCAGCACCGTTCGCCAGCTCGTCGGATCTCTTGATGGACATTTGAATGTTCGGAGCGAGGTCGGTGTAGGTACGCAGGTCGACATATTTGTCCCCGTGCAAATTTTACAGTCTACGCCTGCTCCCCGTCCGGGCCTGTCGGTGCATCGCCACGTCCCTGAACAACAGCCTGTTCGTGTCTGCTTGATTGGATTCAACGATTATCCTGGCCTTAAGGAGACGCCGACGGGAATTCTGCCTGCCGAAGCGAAGCGCAAGCTTGCTATCCGAAGTTGCCTTACGGCGATTCTGGCAGAGCAACGCACATGGAACATCTACTCGTCGGAGTCATTCCACGGAACAGAGGGCGACGTCGCGATCATAGAGGAAGTTAGATTTCTGGATGCTCTGAAGAACGGAGAACTGCCGCTGGATGATCCTCAACGTGCCGGCTTCAGACGAATCTTCGTGATTCTCAACAGCAAAAATCCAACGTCGCACCATCTGGAGTCATCGCGTCTCATCCGCGTCTCCCAGCCGTGAGTGCCTTTGTTTTATCGTTTATGATGTATGCTAATTCCCTTCCAGCTTCGGATGCCGAAAGTTCCGTAACGCCGTCGTTCGCGTTGACAAGCTATTGAAGGAACCCCAAGGTGACTCCCTCTCCGACCCTATTGTCAAACGACCGCTCTTGGAGCATACCAGCCCGCAGAATCTATCCGTTCCTACTGCAAGTCTTCCGCAAAACGTGGCAAGGCGCTCACCCATACTCGAGCAGTCGACAGTTGAACTCACTGGGCGCACTACCGATAAACCAGTACAAATCCATGAACATCTACACCTGCTTATTGTCGACGACAATGCGATCAACCTCAAAGTATGCTCGCATTCCTTTCACCTCACTGGTGCTCCTCGCTAACCGCTGCAACAGATTCTAGCAACATTCGCTGCCAAAATAGGCTGCACATATGATACGGCATCTGATGGACTTATTGCTCTGAATAAATACAGGGATACGTCTCGACGATATGATCTTATCCTGATGGGTGAGTCCCGGCCTATCAAACTCTTCGACATGACTAACAACCAATAGACATATCGATGCCCGTCATGGATGGTATCGTCGCTACGAAGGAGATTCGCCAGTTCGAAGAAGAGCAGGGCTACCCCCGGTCGCGAATCATGGCTGTCACTGGGGTGGCATCCACGGACATGCAACAACGGGCCCAGGCTGCTGGGATTGACGAATATCTCGTGAAGCCCGTTTCCTTGGTGGCGCTCAAGAAAGTCATTGCGGCGCTCTAAACCTTGACTCACGCTCGGATGCACCATACCTGCTCTTTCCTGTCGAACGAAATCAGCGTCACTTGCTATCGCCGGGTTCATACCGTGAGCGAGTTAAGCTGTACCGACACAACCCATCACACTTGACCACTGATACCCCTTCCTTTTGGTCGAGCGCGAACGAAGCCCACGCTTCGGTATAGTCCTTGTGTTAGTAGAGGACACAATGCGCCGTTGTGCTCTTTTTTGTGCCGCGAATTAGCAGCAGTACCTTTTTCTCGGAACTGAGGCGAACACGCCGGCTAGTTCCAACCGTGGCCAGGACTTGGTCCCTAGCACGGGCCGCATATACCCTGAATCCTGCGTCACCCACCATATTGTTGGCAACTTGGCGGGCTTTTCGCTCGTGTTTCTCAATTGCGTCACCCACCTATCGATCTATTGAATGTTAGCGGAGGGAGGGCATGCACTAAGCTTACCTTAATCTGGTCATTTACTGCGCCACCTATGAAGTTGCCGCAATCTCCAGTCTCTTTGGCCCCCTCCACGCTATCCAGGACTGACTGATCAGTTAATTCCACACGATAAACTATATAAACGGTCGCCGACCAAAGTTTTGAGAATCTCTTTCTTAGCCCAATCCCTAGAGTTGAAGCGCGGTGTCGCCAATTTCATCCTTCCAGTAGACATTCAAGTTCGCAGTGACCTTTACATCCCTGTCATCACCAGCCCTCAGTGATCAGTGTGCAAGATGAACTACGTACCGGACCGGGCACTCCATCTAATCTATGGCGTTCCAACACCAACGCCGCAACGGCAGAAGCCCATGCAAGTCCTAGCCGTTAGAATCTCCCGCTCAGGCACCGATTCCCTCCGCGAAGCCCTCCACATCCTCGGATACGAGCACACCCACCACGGCTTCGACACCATCCTTCCCCCCTACGACCTAGAAAACATCTACCGCCTGCTCAAAAAGAAATACAACACCCCTCCACCCCCCGGCCAACCCCCCACGCCCAAACTCACAGCCTCCGACTTCGACACAATCCTGCACTCCAGCGTCGGCGTCTGCGACCTCCTCGCCGCCGAGTTCGCCCCAGATCTAATAACCGCCTACCCCGACGCGAAAGTCATCCTGAATACCCGCCATGACCTCGACGCCTGGCACACCTCCATGCAAAACACAATGGGGTATTTCGACACCAACCCGCTGGATTGGGACTGGGTGAAGAGCTGGTTCTGCACTGAGCTGTTCTGGGTGCGGCAGGCGACGTGTCGGACCCTGATGCCGCTTTTCTTCCGCGGCAGCTTTGCGAGTAATGGGGTGTGGGTTTATCGGCAGCATGTTGCGATGGTTCGGGGGTTGGGGTTGGGTACTGACAGGTTGTTGGAGTGGAGTGTTGAGGATGGGTGGGAGTCGCTGTGTGAGCTTTTGGGGAGGGATGTGCCAGCCCGCGAGTTTCCGAGTGGGAATCCGCCGGATGCGTGGAGGGAGAGGATTGCGAGGACCACGGAGGCGTATCGTGCCAGGGCGGTTCGGAATATGGCTGTTTTTGGGGCGGTGGTTGGTGGGGTTCTCGGAGTTACAGGGGCGTGGTTTGCGGGCTGCATATAGCTTCTTCATGTGTACTTCGTGTTTCCGTGGGCTGAGGGTGGTTGGGCAGTCTTACATTAGGTAGGTAGCTTTGGTACAAACGAACATGTCTTTTACTATACCTCGGCCTTACTGGGCTTGTGAAGTACTGCTAATACTAGCAGAGCATGAGTAGGCTATTCAGCGTTGTTTATTGGGACAAGTCAGAGCGAGTGCATAAAAAGGAGGCACGATTGTTAGTTCCTTCCTGATGGGAGGATGGGCTCTCTCTATCACCTCATCCATCCACCCACGCCCGAAAGCTCGGGCAGCAGTTCCTCATAACAGATCCATGTAACGAACATCTGGCCGTCTTCGATTTGTTACTCCTCCGGCAATCTCTGCAAATATGGACTTAGGAATGACTCTATTTTTGGCCATCCACGCTCCTTAGAAGCTGCTATAGCAGTTCGAATCTCCCCCTTGAACTTGGCCAATTCCACCAGCAGCTTCATAGCATCTTGCTTATTCAGGTTGGCGGCATGGGCCAACGCCGTCCAGCCTTTATTATCAGTCCGGTTGACATCCACACGAGGATCCTGCAAAAGAGCTCTGATGACACCCACGTCGCCGCCTCGGGCCCCAAGCATTAACGGCGTGCAGCCGTCTTTGTCTTGGGCTTCAGGATCGACCGCATCGCGCCTAGCCAGCAGTAGCTTGACAACGCCCGCATGTTCAGTAAGCGCCGCGTTGGCAAGCGGCGTCCGTTCGTCCAGGTCCCGCTGGTCGAGTTCAATGTCGGGCTGCGATATCAACAGTCCTACCGTCCCTTCGTGGCCGCCGTGCGCTGCGGCGTCAAGCGCGGATGCACCGACCAGCACTGTCGTCCTCCCCGTCATGGCCCTGGCGAGTTGGAGGCTTGGAATTGGACGCTCCTCTGTCGCGAATTCGGACTGATAGAATCTCATCAGCTGGAGATGCAGCTGGCTTGAGCGGAGGTCCACGCTGGCGCCATGATCAATCAACAGTTTGACGACGCACTCGTGGCCGTACAATGCAGCCCACATGATTGGGGTCGAGTCATCGTCACCTCGCGCGTTGACATCCACGTCGTGCCATGTCAGCACTTCCCTGACGATGCTTTCGTTTCCGCCTACAGCCGCGTGTTTGAGGATCCCGTTACCGCTGCTGTCCTTGATGTCTCTGGCTATCTCAGGGTGTTGTAGCAGGAGGCGGAAGATCTGTTCGTAGCCTTTCGAGGCGGCGGTCGCCAGCAGGCTCATGTCGTACTCTTCGTCATTGCAACGGTTGATCTTCACGTCCGCTCTCCACATCAGCTGGTTGACGACATCTGCATAGCCCCGCTGCACGGCCATCATCATGGGAGTGCGTCCCCGGTAATCATCCGCCTCGATGTCGATTATGGTAAGCCCATCTATGTTGCGAACGCTCGAGTCGTCATCGTCCGAGTTGTCATCATCAGAACTGGCACAGTCCATCAAGTCAAGCATATCCGCCTGGCCCGCCTTGAGCATGGTATAGTCATTATCAAAAAACTCCTTCACGACCTCGGCATGCCCGCAACTGGCGGCGAAGAATAAAGGCGTTTGCTCGTCCTCGTTCGTCTCGTCCGGCTCGCGGCAAAACCCCAGTAACCAATGCACCACCTCCAAGTTTCCATACATTGCAGCGTAATGCAGAGGCGTGTTTCCCGAGAAGACGCTCTCTCGATCTGCATTACGAGTGTGGCCCATGACCATGTCCATCGCTTCAACCTGGCCGCCAATCGCTGCGCCGTGAAGCGCCGAACCAACCCATCTCCCCTGTCCCTCGAATTTCGAGTCAGCGCCTTTCTCGATGAGCACTTCCATGTCTTCTAGGCGACCCAACGTCGCGGCTGTCGTCAGTGCCATGTTCAGGAGATCCTGTTGATTGGGTTCTCGCCGCGAGACTGGCATCCCCTCCTCGTCCACCTCGTCCTCCTCGTCCGCGCGCCTTGCTCCGGCTACAGCGTCCATCGGCCTAGAGCACCCTGAGAACCCGATCACTGCTGTTGCGAGGCCCTGAGTGTATATTTCGCGGAGCTCGCCAACGTCGGCGTTACCGTTGCTGCCATGCAACGCATCCACCGCAGTGTCCACGACCCTGCGAAGCTGCGACCGAAAAGCGATTGAAACTGCATTGTCGTTTTTCTCTGAAGTTCGCTCTAGATGCCGAAGGAGCAAACAACGACACATCTGAACAGCCCCTGGCGTGGGCGGGTCACATCGCTGAAGACATGCGTTGTCAAATTCCTCGAGGAGAATGGTATCTTCAAAGAAATAGTCGAGGACGATGTTGTTGAACTCCTCTGGACGCCAGGGTCAGTAGGTACATAAGTGGATCTTATTCAGAGGTGGACACACTGCAAACTAGCCTCAGCGCCAGAAAATTCTTGACATCGATCACGGAACGCGTCAAGGGCCAATACCGTCCCCACCCTTCGAACGGAGTCGCTTCAGATACTATCTGGAATATGAGCTCGGGGGGGAGGGTGGGAAGGGCCATTTTGCTGAGACGATTGATGGAAAGGTGGTGGTGAAAAGCCTGACGGGGGCGACGATCGGGCGGGTTGCCAAGCTGCATAAATACATAAGCCTGCACAGCATTATGCAAACCAGTGTCTGTCCCGTGGCGGTGCCATCCTTTTCCAGTACTTTGACAGATATGAGTAGATTGCTTGATGGCCCGCGTGTTGCGAGGAATACATAGCCTCTTCTATCTCAGACCGGTCAGTAACAATGCTCGACTCGATCAGCCATTTCACTATATCCTCATGACCCCCGCTTGCGGCGGCAGCGAGCATGTCCCGGATATCGATGCCAGGATACTGCAGCAAGGACTCAACTACCGCACGATGCCCTTCTGCAGCTGCATTTGTAATGGCAGTCTCACCACAGTGGTCGCACCAATTCACGTCTTCTCCATCGCGGGCCAGAAACACCCTCACCACGCCCAATTCGCCGGCGATGGCCGCGTTGATCAGCGGTATCCGTTGGGACCGATCAGCCATGAATCTATCAACACGCGGATCTTCCAGTAGCAGCTTCACAGTGCTCTCACGGCCAGCGCGCGCTGCCGCATCCAAGGCATTGTGTCCAAACAGGATCGCCAGCCTGTCATTCTCCCATGCAAAAATACGCCCATCCTGCGCCGCCACACGCTCAGCTGACTCATTGTATTGGCGGTTGTTCGGGTCAGAATTCTCAATGAGGACATGTAATTCTTCTGTTGAAGCATTGACATCGATGCCGTCATGTGCCATGAGAAGTTTCACAACTGAATCGTGCCCGCGCGCTGCAGCCCACATCAGCGCCGTAGATCCGTCCCTGCCTCGACAGGAAATCTTGCGGGGGTGGCTTTGAAGGATCTTCTTGACGATGTTTTCGTTCCCGCCTTGTGCAGCATAGATCAGCACGTCATATCCGCCGTGGTCTCTGACCAAGGTGTCGATGTCTGGGTGAGCCCACAGAAGATCAAACATATCTTCTCGGCCAAAGCACGCTGCCATGGCGAGAGGGGTCTGATTGTAGTGCCGAGGACTCCGGCAGTTGACATCCAGATCCGCTCTCGACAGGATCGCCTCGACACAAGCTAGCTGCTCTCTCTCGACCGCTATAGTCAGCGCCGTTCTGTCGCGGCCATCCTGCCCGTTGACGTCGACGAACCCGGTGCTTTCGTACCGAGAAAGCCAGTTCTCGGGTTTCCATCGAGGTGGCTGGTCTTTCGCTGCTTTCAGATCCTCCAGTGCCCTTTTCGCAGCCTCTTCGTCGTCGAAGCCCAGATGCAAAAGCTTCTTAGCGATATCGCCATGCCCGAGCCCAGCAGCAATACACAAAGGCGACTGTCCAGCATCGTTGGGCACATCCGGCTTCGCACCAAGGCCCAGCAAGTAACCCACAGCATCCGCGTGCCCGCCCCTAGCGGCGTAATGCAACGCTCTCTCGCCCGTATTATAGCTGCTTAAATCCGCGCTGAGCCCACATCCCTCGACTAAGAACTTCATCACCTCGACATGTCCGCCAATAGCCGCCCCGTGGAGGGCCGCGGGCACCCACGGCCCATTGGGCCATTCGTCGTCCTCGTCATCAGGCTCCTCACTCAGAATCCGAGCACCCTTTCGCATCAAGACCTTCATATCCCGCAGCCGGCCCAAAGTCGCCGCGACCGTCAACGCCATGTCAAGAAAGTCCTGCTGGCTGGGATCATGGATAGCCCAGAAAGTCCGGTCCGTCTCATCGAAAACCCAGCACTCCTCGTCTTTGACGATATCCATCAACGGCATTTCTGGCCGCGCCATATCGACAATCGCAGAGACGAGGCCGTGCGTATAAAGTCTGCGGAGCTCGGCAGGATCCGTACCGTCCTCGCCAGACAGACACACAACAGCGGTATTTACCGTCGCGACGATCTCCTTCAGAAGTGAGGATTTCGAGCAGCATTTTCCGGCCACCGGCTGCGCGCGCTCGATCTGGCGAAGCAGCAGCCGATGGCCCATGGCCATTTTGCCCGCGGGCGTAGGGTCGAGGCCCAGATGGTCAGCGGAGGGGTTGATAAACTCCAGGTACAGATCTGGTGTTGTCAGGAAGTAGTCGACAATCAGCCTGTCGTAGAGTCCTGGATTATCGTTGGTTAGTTGGAGCTGTAGTTGACTTGAATGGCTCCACTCACTGCACACCAGTCTTAGCCGGAAGAAAGCCACGACAGCGGGCCTTCGAACGCTATCCGAGGGTTCTCGCGTTAATGGGGATGTGTATGTTAGGATATTTGAGATTATCTCGACGGGGAGCGCTGAGAGGCTCATTTCGGCAAGGGATTGGGGTAATGTTACGTGGAAGAGGGGGATGGAGTGGTTGTGTTCACCCTTGAAAAGGCTTTTGCTCGTTTGCTTTTGATTCACGCACGACGAGATCGGTCCCTGCCAAGACTTTGTTCGCTGCATAAGATACATAGCTCTATGCATAATTATGCTGCTTCTCTTCATCTTCATCTTCATCTTCATCTTCATCTTCATCCTCCTCATCATCCTCATCCTCATCTTTATCCTCATCCTCATCTTCATCGTCATCTTCATCTTTATCCTCATCCTCATCCTCATCTTCATCTTCCTCTTCATCCTCATCTTCATCCTGATCTTTATCCTCATCATCATCCTCATCTTCATCCTTATCATCATCCTCATCTTCATCCTCATCCTCATCTTCAGTTTCATCCTCAGACCAAGTCTCCAGAACATTCAACCCCGGCGCCTGGAAATGCTGATAATCATCCGGAAACTCACGGAGCAGAGTCTGCAGGTCTACATCCCTCAGTAGCCTGCAATTGTCGCGATGTAGATGATCTACATTCTTCTGGCACTTCTGGAACTTCGTCAACGGTGCCCAATCCACATGTCATATCAAAGACCGGGGCAGAAGCGAAACATACCCGATTGTGGAATAAAGCCATCTTACACCCCGGACACCAATGCATCGGTCGTCCGTCTTCTTCTCCACACCCATAGCACATATCGGTATATCTCCGCAGTTCGTCCGTAAGCTCGAAGAGGTAGAAGAGGCCGATGCGAAGGACCTGGAGGAATATCAACCAGGAGTTAGCGGCATCCAGCTAAGTCCAGGGATGACAAAAGAAATCAAACAAGCATACCTTGACGCATCGCAAATCCGCTACATGCACCCTGATCTTCCCACAATCAAGGGTTTCCTTCCGCGCGCCCAGCAGGAGGATAGTCAACTCATCTTCCGGGCGAAGCGTGTGTAGCTCTGAGATCCAGCGCCTTGCATCGGCATCGGCATTTGCGTCGGAAGACTCCCCGTCCGGGTTAAGGATAACCTGCGCCTGATCTCTCGTTTCATCGCCGATTGTGAGGCTCGTGGACCCGTCCGCTAGCTGGACGACATGGTCTATTCCGGCGACGACGCACCATTCTGCTGTTGCTGTGGGATCTGGATCTGATTGCGTGGAGTCCGGGTTCGAGGAGGTTGAGGACGCCGGGAAGGGGAGCTCAGCGAGGTTTTCGAAGATGGGGAAGAGATATTCGTCGTGGAGGTCTTCCAGCATGGTGCTCGTTTTAATAGTGGCGGGCGGCTTTTTTATGGTAGGTGGGTTGGACTGAGTGTGGAGATGATCTGAATGCCGAATGCTGGTACAAGAATAGATGCGGAGTTGACTTCCTAGGGTATTGCTGAGCGGTGCTGATGGTTGGGAAGATGTTGAGTATGTTGATTCTCAGAGAGACCCAGGGCGATGGAGGATACGGCGGGGATGATGTCGGGCTTTGTTGATGTGCGGACGGTAAACACTTGCTGACGGAGGTTTGTTGACTGGGCTTTATCTACTGAGAGGCGAATAAGGGGAAAACCTATGGTAGCTGGCTCTAGAGATAACCTTTCACTATGAAAGATACAGATGGTCCATGGGAACCACAATGCGCGTTGCCAGAAAGGTTGATTGAAACGACCATACTAAATCTTCATAAAACGACAAGAGAGGCTAGCTGGAACAGAGCATCCTAACAAATGGAGGCTACCCAGTCCACTCACGCAGGCCATAGATACTGTTCATAAAACGACATGAAAAACATACTGATAGCTGGAACAGAACACCATAACAAACGGAATGCTTAGGCTTAGTGATGCCCAGTCCACTCACTCAGGCCATAAAACGCATCCATCTCAGCCCAGTCCTCAACATTGAACATGGCAATGTTAATGTCAGAGTACTCCTCCAGACGCATCTCCGTATGCAACGCCATAGACTGGAACCGATGGTCCTCGAGGCTCTCACACTCGTCGCGGAAGTAAGCCAGCATGTCGGGATCGCGCATCACCTTGCAGTCGTACCGGTGGCCTTCTTCGATCGCGGTGTCCTGGCACTTCTGACACAAGACGGTTAGCATCCTTTTATTGTATGAGGGGTAGAGGAGACAGAGAGATAACATACCCGGCTACAGAAGTAGTACGTCTTGCAGTGCGGGCACCGCTGCATCCCGCGCTGGAGAATCCCGCAGGAGCAGCACATGCGCTCGCGCTTCCCGTACCCGCCTGTCATTTCGACGAAGGTCACGGAGAGATAGGTGAGGTGGGCGAGGCGGAAGGGGAGGATCTAAGCCCAGCCATCGTTAGCACTGACATCATTCTACCTCGGGCTTACTACCACAATAACGAATGCATATGATGTATACATATACATACCTTGACACGTCGCCAATCCGGCACTTCAATCTCGCGCTCCACGTCCACGTCCACGTCCCCATCCAGCTCGCGATCAACGGCGCCAGCGACTAGGATCGCGAGCCCGCGCTTCAGGAACGGGAGGGGGTCGGCGCCGCGGCCGGTGTCGGGGATGTGGGTCGGCAGGGGGAAGGTTACGCGGTAGGTACGGCTGGCGTTGTCTGTGACGAGGAGGGTGGCGTTGAAGTTCTTGAGCGATTGGACGTGGATGATCTCGCCGGCGAAGCAGGAGTGGAATTCGGTGGTGGTGGTGTCTTCGTCAGTGGGGATTGCAGCAGGAGCTGGAGCTGGAGCTGGGGCGTTGCCGGTCATCTCGGTGTCTGAGGGGGTGGAGGAGGACTCCATGCTTGGCTTGATGCGGAGGGTCGACATGATTGGAATAATCGGACAGGATTGGACTTTGGTGGGATGGAAGGGTGATGAGGATGATGAGAATGGAGATCGGAGAGGTTGATGGGGTCTCTACGGTGGGTGGTCCAGGGGTTTTTATCTTGAGATGGGAGGAGACCGGGAGTGTACTGGACGTTCAGGTGAAGGGCATATTAATGGCAGCAGTGAAGGCAGATCCTGAGGAGATCTGGAGTGCTGTTGAAGTGAATGGGCCAAGGAGAACAGAACTAGGACTGCCCGTTCACACTCAACCTGGAACATTGGACTACCACTCCAGCCAAAACGCACGAATTGCGAAAGCACGACTTGGCTGGCAGTGGCATCCAGGGGAGAAGCAGATGTACCTTGGTCTCTACTAATTTCAACGACTCCAAATGTCAAGCTAATGCTGGGGCTATACTCCAGCTCCAGCTGTAACTGCCTCAGTGGAGCCAACAAGGGCGAATCCAGTACCGCTACATGGATTGCACCCGTTCATAGATCAGTGTGGTTAAGTTTAATCTCAACTATTCGGCGATTCCCAGACACGGAAGGGCCAACTGCCCTGATGTAGATGGACATTGCTGAATTGGGTCCTGTTAAGCCTGATATTTGTAGAGAGATGGTACCGCATGCTAAGAGCTGCCCAGACGAACCGTGACGGGGGTGGCTTGTTTGAACATCACGAGGCCAACATGGATAACTTACCCTAGCATCCGGTCGATCTTTCTCTTCAGCAGACAATTCTTCCCAATATCAACGGCTACATTCCACTAACAACAACGTCCAGCTCCTATGGTCCAAGGGTGGGAAGACCGCTACATCAAGTACAATAATGGCAGCCCCGGCCTCCTACGGTAGGCGAACCTTGTAAAGCATGCGAGTTGACTGACTGTCAGAGACTAAAGACGCCCGCCGGCCAAACTGAACTATACGCCCGCCGCTGCCCCTCATACTGGCGCTATTGCAAAGAGGACGGCCTTCGAGATAACCCTAGATGATACGAGGACCGCACCGGGCCGGTTAACATTACCGTCGCGCACGACGATAGTCTTAATGGGTATATGGACCGCTGCGTCTCGTATACGGACACCGCGCAGCAAGGGCGTAAGCTTCGACCAACGCTGCAAAACGGGCTTCGAAACTGTCTCCTGCTAAGCGAGCTATGATCAACACTGGGGAACGTGAACTCGACCGTTGCGCAGGTTGTGCCGTCTCCAATCTCGCGTGGGGAATCAAGCCTTTGATAATATATTATCACGGTGTTTGTGATGATTTTTGTTGTTACTGCTGTTGTGACATTACAGGGATTAGGCTGGAGGAGTGGAATCGGATGAGCAGAGCCATCGCCTGGCGAGCCCACGGAGGTCGAGGCGAGATCACCGCGGTATGAGTTCGCGGCGGCGAGGGAGCGAGATCAGTTACAATGATTGGATATCATATCATCATGCCTTACGTATAGATACATTTTCAATCACCTTCTTCCTGCATTCATACTCCGGATACTTCCTGAGCATCCAAAGCACTTTGTCTTGCGCACGGGATTATCTCCAGGGCTAGTCAGGGTAGTCCTGAATGTAGGTATAAATCCATGGATGTTACACGTATAGATCGCCTCCTCTGTCGAATCGGTAGCAGACGCCTAGATCCGGGCGTGAAGTTCAAAGACTCAAAATGCTGTTTTCTCATACACTAAACAAACACCAGATATGGTATGGTACATGCTAGATGGCTTCACCAACTCAACGGGCAGTGACTGCAGGCACCTAAAGATAAATATCCTGGTCTCCAGGCAAACGAAAAACAACCCACTCAAAACAGTCCAGGTCATCCCACTCGCCCCTAAGCAGTCGGCCCATATCCCGGTCCTCGAGGACCTGGCAGTGCCCGTCGTGGCGCTGCTCGCCGCGGCCTTTACGTTCGCAGTCCTGCGTGTGGGGAATGGTTAGCTGGTGGCTACTTATGGTAAGACCGGGGAAGGACTCAAAGCTGGAGCTGGAGCTAGAGGTGCAGGTGGAGGTGGAGGTAGAGGCATACCGGATTATCAGCGCAGAAGCCAATAAAGCCACAAGACTCACACAGATCGAGCGAGCCCGGGGCGCGACGCTGCCTGCATCCAAAGCAGCGTTGGCCGCCGCGGTCCGAGGTGAATTCGCAGATGGTGTTGTTCAGCGCGATCAGCGTCTTGAGGTTTACCCCGAGGATCTAGGCAGGTTGTCAAATGTGAGGCACGTATTCCCAACTCTTTGGCTTGGGTAGACGCCGACGGATGGACATACCTTCAAACGTGTCACGTCCTCGAGTACAATCCCGACAACCTCATCGTCCACTTCATTGCCTGCGCCATCTCCCTCGGCCGTAGCAGCCTCCAGCTGAATCTTCTGAGTCTGCGCATTCAGGATAAACACACACATGCCCCTACGCGGAACCTGGTCGTCAGGCAGAACCTCGTGTGCCGACAGCAGAGCCTGGTGCGCAGACAGCCCCATCGGTTCCTGTTTGGGGAACGAGCAGGCGATTGTCACGGTTGTGTCGTCGTAGTCGCGGGCTTTGAGGATGGTGTGGTAGGGGCCTGAGGAGCGGGACTCGACATCCAGGATCTCGGCGATGAAGCAGTAGCGGTCGAGGATTGTGCTGGTGGGCGAGAAGAGACGCTTGAAGACGGGGACGCGGCTGGCGAGTTTCATGGGGAGGTTGGTGTAGGGCGGGAAGCGGGTTTTTTCGAAAAGGGACTTGGTGATCATTTTGATTGTGGTGATGGTGGTGATGAGGATTGTAAGGAGATTGGAAGTAAGGTAGGTTGATGGAAGATGAAGAGGAGAAGGATGTTGGAGAGATGGAGAAGATAGGAAGCTGAGAGATGATGCGGGTTGAGGGAAGAAGTATATATACTCGAATTGGAGGAGTGCTGGAGGGTGTTTGGAAGTGTCAAGGGTTGGTGTTCAGTAAGAAGAATAGTGAATGAGAGTTAAAGAGGATAGACCCCATGGAATCTATGGATGGCTGTCTACTGTGTCTGGCTGTTTATATAGGTTCAATATCAGCCCTGTGATGAATAAGTGATTCATTTTCCACCTGGATTACTATACTTGCTGCCGGTAGCAACACGCAGCAAACTTAGAGCTGACTATTACAATTACTATATGAATGTCAGAAGAGATATAAGGTCTAACACTCTCTTGTATAATAGTATGGCTTTAAAGTTCTCACATGTTGCATGCACTCTACAGTGACTGTACTTAGCCCTAACTCAATAAAGAACACCTCAGTTCACCACCCATGGTAGGTAGATTTGCTCCCACACTTCTCACCAAGTTATCGAAGCCCACAGCTTGCGACCTCTGATAAGATACGGTTTACATGGATTTCTTCAGAGGTCACCCTGGCAGTGCTTCCAATTCACCCTGCTTAGGTAGGGATCTGGCAAGTCGCCAACACAAGCCGAGATACATTCCCGCTCTTGAGCCCTGCATTATACATTGAAACAAACAAATCAGACACCAATCCTCAAAAGGCACGGCAAAGAACCTTTTTCTGACTCGGTGGAAGGCAAGTGAAAACCTGACGTGTCCTTGGTTGCTCTACAATGCCAACACTCGAGTAAGAAACTTAACGGCTTCGAGAGACCGGGCTGCTTCAGATGCATTCCTAACAACCTGTACTTCAGTTTACGATGTCGTTATGGTAGCTACATCCAACATAACCTCCTCTACATAAAATGCAAGGAACAAAAGAGGGAATAGTACCCCCATAGAATCCGCACGAAGCGGAGCGCACGGATCACCATTCACTGATGTACCTAGCTACCTTGAAAGATCTACAGACCTCCGCAAGACCATGGCCCTTGGGGTTATACCCTAGTAGCTGGGCACTGCCGCCCTGAAGTCGCGAGACTGGGTGAGCAGAGTGGTCGGCTAAACGACGCCGTTCATCCTTCGCGCTGGAACTATCCGCCCCTTGACTTTCCTCTCGCCGGCTAGGTACCTATTTAACTTCCATCGCATCCCATTAACTCCCGCTGAACTAGCGTTGTATCACTGATATCTTATCCCCATTCTTACCCTTCTTCTCTTTTATCCCTCCCCATTCCACTTCCCATCCAGGCAAACACCTTTACAACTCCTAGCGATCTAGGGGTACCTTTAAATAAGGGCTTTAAATATTTTAAAATTATTATAAATATATATTTTTATTATTTTAATTTTATTTTTAACTTTTTTTTTTTACCACTTCCCGCGGTGTGATAGCTAAAATTAAGGCGTGTATTTTTAATTAGTTTATAAGTATTAACTTAACTAACTTCACGCGGCTATAAAACCTTTTATTTTTTTAACCTTTATATTATAAAAAGGTAAAAAAAAGGGCCCTAGTAAGCCTATTTTTTTTTATTATTAAAGGTAATAATATATTAACTTTTTAGCCTAGCCTAGTTATAAAAACCTTTTATAATTAGCTTAATAAGTAAAAGCACTAGGCATGTATTAAATATAAAGTTTTTATAAGTTTTATAATTATTATTAACAATTTTATAATTAAGTAAAAAACTTAAAATTAAAAAGCCTTTACCTATAATATTTATAATAAATTTATATACTTTATTTTTTTAAAAGGCTATACTAATATTAATAATATTAATTATATTTTTTTATATATATATAATTAGCTTATTATTATAATAACTTTTAGTAAGATTATTACCTAAAAAAATAAATTTAATTTTTAAAAATTTAAGGGCTTAACCCACCCCTTTTAAAGTAAATTTTTTTATTTTAATTAATACTATTTTAGGTAAGGTGCCCCTTTTAAGTATTTTAATAATTTAATTAATATATAATAGCTTTACCATGGCCTTAATAATATATAATAATTATAAGGTATTAATTACCCTTTTTAATAATAAGTTAATAGCATGCCTAAAGATATATATTATTTAACAAGCCCTTATTAAATACATGCTAGGCTTAATTATAATTATAATTATTTTTAAAATTAATACTACCCACAGGGGCTAGGCTATTATTTTTAATAATTTTTTTATTAAAAACCTTTTAGTAATTAATAAAGTAATTAATATAATTTATTATACCCTAGGTATTATTAATATTTATTTTTTTTAAAAATAATATAATTATATAGTATAAGAAGTGCCTAATATTATCCTAGTATATAATAATAATAAAATAAATATTACTAAGCTAATTTAAAATAAAATTATAGCCTAAACTAAATTAAAGCTAGTTAGGCTTACTTTTTTAAAATATACGCCTAACCTTAATATTAAATATATTACTTAAATAGTATTTTTTTTAAAGCAGCCCAAGATTTTTACTTTATTTAATTAAAGCAAGTATTATTAACTTATTAAAAAATATTAACTAGTTTTTTAATATAATTCTAGCTACTAAAAATACTATTACCTAGTGTAATATAATTATATAATATATTATATATAATATAATATAATAATTATAAACTACTTAGGTTTTATTAGCCTAAATTATAAAAACCTTATATATTATATAAACTACCTGGGCCCTTAATTAATAAAATATAATAATTACCTAGTAGCCCCTAGGTGTAAAAATAAAAAATTAGTTTATTTATTTAAAAAAAAAAACTTAATAATATATATTATTATAATACCTACTAGTACTAAAATATATATACCTAGGTTAATACTAATACCTAGCTCTAGGCTAAAATTAAAAGGTTTTTATTTTAAAAATTTTTTTAAAAGCACGCCATAAAAAAGCTAAAGGTAAATAAATAAAGTGTTATCACCGCTATGGTGTTACAACTGCGCAGTGTTGTAATAACGCAATCCGGCGGCCTGAGGCTACTTAATAAAAAAACTTTAGCGCTAATTTAACCGCGCGCTAAGGCGGTAGTTAGTTATATAATATATAAAATACTAAGTTTAACTTAAAACTTTAACTTAAAAAATTAGTAATTAATTTTTATTATAAATATATAACACTTTTTTATTATAGTAATTTATATTTTTTTAAACTTAGTATAATATATAAAGGCGCCTTATAGTTTTAATTACTTTTTTTTTTAAAAAAAAACTTATTTTATATAATAGCTAAGTAGTAAACTTAATTTTAGGGGTTAATAAATAAAGCTTTAAAAAAGTAATTATAAATTTTAACTTAATAATTAACTAATATACCTAAAAAAAAATTTATAAACTTTTAACTAAAAAAACCTTAGGGCACCCTTATAAATAAAAATTAAATTATATAAGGGATATTAAAATATAAAGTACTTACTTTAAAATATAAAAATAAAAATAATAAAAAAATTATTAAAAAACTATAGGTAATACTAAATATAATTTTAGTAAAAAAAAAAATTACAGGAATAAGAATATTATAAAAAAAATATTAATAAATTTATACTTAAATTAAAAAGGCATGCTAGTAAATTATAATAACTAAAGCTAATTAATAAATATATAATACCCTTATTTAATTTATTAAGTAATTAATAATTCCCTGCTAAATAGACTTTAACACCCTTATAAACTTTAAAAAATTATTATAAAATTAATTATAGTAGTAACTGCGCGCCCTAAAAAWTTTTTTTTAAAAAAATTATTATTTATAAAACTATACTAAGTAAATAATATTAAGGAATTTAATAATTAAAAATTAAATATAAAAATATACTTTAAAATCTTTTTAACTTATTATTTTAATAATAGTTATAAAATATCTTAATTTATTAGATTTTTAGTAAAAAACTATTAATATAAATAGTTTAATATTTATAAGGTAAAACCTGCGTTTACCTAAAAAGAATTTCTTAATATACTAGTTAAAATAATTAATAATAAAACCATGCTTGTTAATAATTTACTTATTAAATAAAGTAATATAAAATAATAACTATAATAAATTATTAGGCAATTTATATAATTACTAAATTAAATTAAGAAATACTTACCTTATAAATATAAGAATAACCAGCGCAAAGGGCACCTATATTAAAAAATCTTAAAAAATATATAAAAAAAATTTTTTATTTATAAATACCAAGAACTAAAACGCTATAAAAACTATATGTTATATTTAACTAGTATTAAAAATAATATATATAAATAAAAAAAAATTATTATAAAAAAAAATAAGAATTCCTAAACTAAATATATACTAAGTTATTAGTAATAAAAGTTAAAGTATTATTTACCTTTAAAAAAGGCGTAAAAGCAAATACTAGCATAAAATAACCTAGTAATTTAAATAATTACTTATTTATAAAAAAGCTATACCTAAGTAAATACCTAAATTATAATTACCCTAGGTATTTTAAATAATATTACTAGTTACCGGGCGAAGGTTAAAAAAAAAGTACTTTTATAATAATAACCCTTAAATAAATTTAATAATATAAAAAATATAAAATCTTAAAGCTTTGCGTGGTGTAAGCTTTAAAAATTTATATAAAATAAAAAAATACGCCACGGGCCTGGGTAATTTAGGTAAAAATAAAAAAAAAAATAAAAAATAATAATATATAAAAGTTTTTATTAACTTTAAAGTAAAAGTAAATTTTATAAACTACCACTAGGTAAAGTCTTACCTTATATAAAATAAAAAATTAGCTTATAAAATACATATAATTAATAGCCATATAGTAATATTTTATAAAAAATATATATTTATAGTTTATACTAGAGATTTTGCATATAATATATGGTGGGAGTGGCCGAGTGGGCGGTCACAGGGGCCTTAAATTCAGG